GGTTTCTAGGGTTTATAGGGTTTAAGGAAGCGTGAACCCGGCAGCGTTACATAGAAATGTGCATCCAGCCAGCTCATGCCCTGTGAAACCGAGGCTATATACCAACGAACATGCAGCTGTATTGTGTGGGGTCCCGTACTAAGCCGTAACCTGATTCCTGTACTACACCAGACGAAACTTTGTGCAAAACAAAATGGGAGACAAGAGAACGCGGTAACTGCAATTTGGTGTCCACTTCAAGGTTTGTAATTCTGATCCTGGCTCATATTTGTATGTGTTTCTTTTGGCTGCAGCTAATTGCTGCCGCCAAGCGTGCGCCTGGCTGCATGCCAAACCCTAAACCCCAAACCCTTAGCCCTAAACCACAAACCCTGAACGCCCTACACCCCCTACGCCCCCTAGGTCCAAAACCGTGTGTCATGGGGCTTTCCACTCTGAACTGAGAGTTTCTCAGAATGTCTCCCTAGAATCCCTCTGGCATCTGTCTATCATCCCGGTACGTTCCTGAGGTTCATAGGTATTTCTTTTTGAAGCCCACAACACTAAACCCTGGAGAACAAAAAACAGTATGCCACTCCAACTAACAGGAGGAAAAGGGTCACACTAAAAGAGCTTAAGCACGAAGCCCTAAGCACTACATGCCCTGTAACCCCCTTTACATAGAGATGGCAGGCGTATGAGCGCGAGAGCGTCAAGGACGTGATGGTTCACCATGCGAAGGATCTCGTCGATCAAAACAACATGCAGGACGGGCTTCGGGTTAAGGCCAAGCAGTTCAGGTTTAAAGCTTTTGGTGTTAGGGTTTAGGATTTTGGGGTTCGTATCCGCTGAGGGAGCGCTCATCAAAGATTCTGGGTGTTTTGTTGGGCTCCCATATGCTAGGGACCCCAATATAGATCTGCAAAGTGGATGAATCGTAAGTCAAACCCTAAAGCTTTACAGGGTTTAGGGTTTAGGGTTTAGGGAGCCCTAAGTCCTGAAAATCCCCCCGTCTCCAGACACTTAACCCTTAACCCTTAAGCCCCAAACAACCCCACTGGACAAGAATTTTCAGAGACGGTTAAGATAGCCCCCAACAAACACGGAGAACAAACCAGCCACCACGAGAAAAGCCCTAACACCCCCCCCCCCAAGTCAAGACCCTATCATGTGATGATAATGAGGTTCTAATTTTGGGTGGGTACGATTACCAAGGCGCTCAGCCCGACATCTTAAACCGAGCCCTACCTGCTGGGATAGGCAGGTTCTAAGCTCCGACAAAAACAGCCTCAACCTTAAAACCACACCCATTATTTTGAAAAGGTCCTATCCATGGGCACGTGGTAAAGACTAGGTATATGAGGACCCCAGGATTAAGGGCCCATGGACTTTCGATACTTGAAAGTAGTTGTCATTTTCTTTTCCATTCCTTGTTTCCCTAGATCCTAAATCCTAGACCCTATAACCCTTGTATCCACTACACCTTAAGCCCTAAACTCTAACCCCTAAACCCTAAGCTTTAAACCCTAAACTCTAAGCTTTGAACTCTAAACTGTAAATCCTAAGCCCCTACACCCTAAACTCTAAACTCCAAACGCTTAATTCTAAACTCCTAAACCCTAAACCCTAGACCCCAAACCCTAAACCCTAAACCCTAAACCCTGAAATCCTAAACCCTACACAATGAAACCCCCCTGAGAAGCCCAATGAGCCTGCTCCAGGCTGCTGAGAATCTCTTCATCCAGGCCGGCAAGCCCGAGCTTGCTGTCAAGGCCCATTTGGGGTTTAGGGTTTAGGGTTTAGGCTTTAGGGTTTAGGGTTTAGGCTTTAGGGTTTAGGATTTAGGGTTTGGAGTTTGGGATTTAGGGTGTGGATTTAGGATTTAGTTTTTTGAGTGTAGGATGTAGGGCTTCGGGTTTAGGATTTAGGGTTTGGAGTGTAGAATTTAGGATTTCGGGTTTAGGGTGTAGGGTGTAGGGTTTAGAGTTCAGGATTAGGGATTCAGGGTTTCAATAGTTGAGCATTGTTTTGGCGTGGGGTTCAGTGTTTATCTAGGTTTTGGGTATAGTCTTTTGGACGAAGACTAAATGCTTCGTCGGTTGAACCACGACATGTACATTACCCAGTTGGAGGATTTCTCAAATAAGAGGTGCCATTTGGTAGTTCCTGCCCAAACGGGATCATAGGGATATATAGGGTCTAGGTTTTGCGCTAATCTTTGTGACAAACTCGCTCAGAACCCGGTAACATCCTATAGTTTCCTGTAATTCCTTTCATGGATAACACAAGGTTTTGACAATAGGTGCGCTAGGTCTTGATCTAGACAAAAGGATAGCATGTTTAGGGCTTAGGAATTAGGTGTTGCATCGTTAGGAGGGATTAGGGCTAGGGTGTTTCATGGTTTCAGCTGTTTCGGGTTGAGGGTGTCTCTCTGAGTCGGAGGTACGTGCGGGCTCAACTATGAAGCATAGTCCCAAAGCCCTAAACCCTAAACAGCGGACTTGGCTGGCAGGCCTACTCCTCCAAGCGCATGGTGAATGAGGCTGTGAGGGCATTGCGCTAAGCATTACCGTCAGCGTGCCGATACATTGCGAGCATTTTGAAAGTTGTCAAAACTGTGGTCCCTTTCGAGTAAGTAATTACTCTTCATAAAACGGCCTCTAGTTAGGGTACCCATCAAGGGACTACAATTTTGACAGCCCTGTGACTAGTATTTCTGAAACGGATATTACAGCCCCCAATATCGAGGGAGAAAATTCCCATTGGCTCTAGGACTTTGTAGGAAGAACCTAATCTTAGCTGGTCCAACCACCAATAAACATCCCTCATGTGAGCCATAGTCTAAACTCCTAGTGCCCCCATTAATATCCCTCAGAAAAAGACTCTTGACGTAGACCCCGCATGGTTTAGGGTTCAGTGTTTAGGGTTTCGGGTCTAGGGTTATCCTAGCGTAGGTCCACGGACAGGTATGGCTGAAACTATACTTAGGATAAGTGTGCTGGTGTGCTGAGAAGCTAGCTTAGGCGGCGTATGACCCCACTCGTAATAAGACCGCCAACGAACATTCAAGCAACCTGGAATCCTTATCCCAAACCTCAAAAAACTAAACCCCAATCCCTAAACCCCAAACCCTAAACGCTAAACCCTAAACCCTGAACCCTAAATCCTAAACCTTAAATCCTAAATCCTAAGCCCTAAACCAGGTCTGCAAGAAGCACTGCCCTCAGATGCTGGGCGATGTCGTGGACTCCTACGGTGAGGGTAGCGCTGCTCCAGGCCGGGCCTTCGTGGCTGGAAGCGGTAGCTTCGGGGATCCTTTAAGGGATTTAGGGTTTAGGGATTTAGGGTTTAGGGGTTTAGGGTTTAGGGGTTTAGGGTTTAGGGGTTTAGCGGTTAGGGATTTAGGGTTTAGGGGTTTAGGGTTTAGGGGTTTAGGGTGTAGGGGTTTAGGGGTTTGGGGGATTTAGGGTTCAGGGTTTAGGATTCAGGGTTTAGGGTTCAGGGTTTAGGGTTTAGGGTTTACAGGGGATATCTAGGGACGTATTTCGGGCTGAGGGTTTGGGACCAAGTGTTGGCTTTTGTGTTAGCAAAAATGAGCATTTTGCGAACTGCGGTTTCTCAGACAGGTGGTCTGTTGTTTAGGGTACCCACTTGGCAACGATGAGCTCTAAACGACAAGCGGCCATTTAGAGTGGACAAGGGCATCCCTTTGACAGTAAGTATAGTCCCTAATATATTCTCCAGTAAGAACCCTTGTCCATCAGTTATATGGGAAATATTGACTGTGGTTTGTGTACCCCCTATCAGGAACGTGCCCTGAGGCTTGGAGACCCACTCCATAAATCTTCACCTCATCTTCCTCGTGTATTGGGGTCTCCTAAAATTAGGGATTCCTATAAAGGGGATTACACAATATGTTAGGGTGTATGTTGGTGTTCCCCTAACTGCCATGTTTCTAAACCCTGAAAAACGTTTAAGCCCTGAACCGACCTGGCTCCGCAAGCGAGAAGGTGCGCCTCAAAGTCTGGACGAGATCTTGGATGCTGCCAAGATTTACGAGGTTCCGCTGCCAAGGGCTTTAGGGTTTAGGGTTGGCAAACCCAGAGGGATAGTGAGAACATCACCGCTCCTAGCTTACTAGCCCTAAACCCCAAACCGCCTTGTTGATACAACATGAAGGCATGGAGTCTGTCGTATGATTGAAGACTATATACAGTAGTAGTTTCAATCAATCAGGAGGCCCCAAATCAGACCCACAAATATTCAAAATATTATAATCAAGATGATGGGGACCTGCTAAAAAGAACACTTAATTTTGGGAAAACGACCTCTAAGAGGCTACTTTCGGGACCCATTCCCCGCTGGCAACTAAGTCCCCAAATGGGGGTTGTATGGGGGATTGTATAGGGGGTTGTATAGGGGACGACTACAGGGGGATACTAAGGGGGATACTAGGAGTTTCGAGTATGGCTCACATGGCCCTCTCACGACGCCAAGATGGCTAGTAACTAGCTCCCCCTGTAGAATGCGGAGTTTCTTAAACTTCTGCTCCAATTTCTCAAGGGGATCATGTGGTAGGTAGACCCCCTCAACCCTAAACCCTTAGCCCTAGAGCGTAAACCGTGTGTGCACCAGGAGACTGGAAACTATTCACGTGCCATTGATGCCTACCTGTCGGCCGCAGTCCTAGTGATGGATGGAATCAATGGGGGCGTGTCTCAAATTATGCGTATTGTTTTTAGATAGGAGCAGACGTAATGCCCTGATGTATACTTGCCTCATAACCTTCTCATACATTCTAGATATCCTTAGTGTCCCTAAGGGTATCCCCAAATTGAGAAAATTCCATGACACGAATTGTGAGAACCATAATAGCAAGAACTTTAGGCAGCACAGCGGTTCAAGTACCTAGGAAACCCCAGTTATAACGAGGGTAATAAACCCATTTATAAGTACTTCCTGAATTCCCGTAACCCTAAACCCTGCATATCCCTACAACTTCCCTAAAACGCCTTCTAGAGGGACCGAGGTATAAGTAAGTTTCTAAGTCCCATGAAGCTTCAAGTAGTGACCACCGCGGGTGCAGAGCCCGCAGCCCACTTTGGAAGCAGGGATCTGCTTAAGTGTGGCTGATGTTCTCAAGCTCATGGGCATAACACCCTAACCCTAAACTCTAAACCCTAAACTCTAAACCCTAAACTCTAAACTCTAAACCCTAAACTCTCAACCCTAACCCTAAACCTTAACCCTAAACTCTAAACCCGACACTGGGCCGAGCAGACGGAGCGGTCCGTGGGGTTGAAAAAGCTCTAAGTCCGTAGGGCGTAGGTTTATAGTCCCCCTTAAGTAGATAGAATTTGGTGTATATGGGGATCTTAATATAGCATACCCAAAGCCATATTCTATCTACTTAAGGGGTACTATAATTCTTGGGGGAACTGATTGTTTTGAGAGGCTTGACTGGGTTGCTTGATTTTGCACCGCATGTCATAGAGGGCCCTTAGAGCTTTGCCAAGGTGAACGAGACGGCTTCAGCGGAGCCAGATCGTCTGGAGGAGGCTGGACTTTTTGGCCTGAAAAAGTTTGTGCGGCTTCGCCGTAAAGGGGTCATATTCTGCAATTCCTGCGGGGTCACATACGAGCAGAATTGTGGTGAAAGGGCGGCCTGTAGAGTGGGTTCCATGCTTGCTGATATGCCTCTGGTCCGAGGTGTGGGAGAACGCCGTGCGCCTGTCCATGAAGAATGCTCCGGACGGGCTTGGTCTTACTGGTGGTAAGTAGGGAGTAAGGGAATGTACTCCCATATAATCCCTGCATAATCCCATATAACCCCTATATAAGATATCCCCTTATTCACTCCTAACCCCCAATAAGCGGTAGTTTTCCTGGCTCCAAGTAGCTTGCTTTCAGACTGGGCCAAGACTTGACCCTAAACCCTAAACCCTAAACCCTGAACACAGAACCCTAAACCCTAAACCCTAGCTTGCTTGCAGGAGCGCTACAACGACATCGTAGCAATTGTCTCAAAACGGCTGAAGCTCATCCAGCGATTCGAGGCTGTAGTGCCTTCAATTTTTCTTGCTATGTGGGTTCTATGATCTCCAGTCTATAGGTTCCTGAAAGGGGTACCGTTAAAGGGGGTTCTAGGGGTTATGTGGGGGGTTAAATTGGGACATATGGGGGTTTAGGGCTTAGGGCTTAGGGTGAATTAATGGTGTTTTCAAGCCGGATACTAGGAGTTAAGACTATGGCTCCTATGCTACACTGCTACCCTAGTACGTGTTAGATGAGGATGTCATTAGCACATAGTCCAGCATGATTTAGCACTACATTCCATGGGAAGCATATGCAAGCATAGTACCATGTCATGTAGGAATCGAGGGGTTATCGAGGGGTTGTAGAAGAATCTAGTACTACGGTATATCAGATTCTGTCGCACGCTATATTGCTCTCAAACCTTACATCCTAAATCGTGTAAGTTTGGGTACAGTGACGAAGGCTGCGGCAGAGCTCTACGAAAGCATCGATGCTTTCCGCGAAGCCGTGAACTGTTACATTGCTGGTGAGGCGACTGCTTTGGTTTAGGGTGTAGGGTCCCAGTGCTGGGCAAAGAGTGGAGAAATGGACTACGAGCCCTAAGCCCTCAACTTGACACCCTGAACTCTAAATGGGTGGGGTAGGCACTGCTATAGGATTCATTCCCACTTTCCCGCGAACCACCAGGCAGTTGATTGCATTTGAACTTTGCCTTAGCTGGTGCCCTGAGCCTCGAGGTGTGGGACAAAGCACGGCAGCTAGCGCAGCAGCACTGCCCAGATATGGTCCGCATTGTGGAGGATAGGTGCGCCGTGCATAACATCCATCAGATGTGGAACCTTCTTGAATTAATGCCCATGTAATCCCAAATGGTGACCCTCCATAGGGTTTAGGGTTTCAGGTTTAGGGTTTAGTGGCCACTTTTTTTGAGAACTTTGCAACTAGTGTTTGCACGGCATCTACGCTGGAGCAGGTACAAGTCTGACCTCGTTGGCAAGGGCTGCGATCCCAGTTTGTCAAGGGTTCTAGACTTGTACCCTTAAGGTCGCACCCCTAAAAGGTTTTCTCAGTATGGCCACTACGGCCTTACAGGGATCCCCACACCCAAGGGTTTAGGGTTTGGGGTTTACAACCTTAGGGGTACAAGCCTGAAGCCCTTGAGTTGGTGAACATTTGCCTTCGCAGAGCCCCTAATGGATCCAAAAAATGGACCCCCCCCCCCCCAAAATACTACATTGGGGAAACTAGGGGATTATTACCCTAAACCCTAAACCCTAAACCCTATTTTTCTGGATCCTGTAGGGCGGCTGGGTTTTTAAGGCGATGGGGATGAGCTCATCCGCCGCACGGGAGATGTCGACAGTGCGTGCGAGTCTCAGTGACATGTTAACCCCCCTAAAGGCGCTAAACCCTAAACCTCAAGCCCTAAACTCCAAACCCTAATCCCTAATCCCTAAACGCTAAACCCCAATCCCTAAAGCCTAAACCCCAGTTTCCGTGCAAATTTTCCATTTCATTCTCAACTCTACCAGGACCACGGTGAGACCGGTCTGAGATATGGTTTACGGTTTAGGGGTTATTGGTTTGGTTTAGGGTTTAGGGTTTGGGGGTGTAGGGTTTAGCCAAAGATCCCCTAAACCCTACCTGGCCTGCTCTGAGGTTAGATATGTATGCTCGCAATGGGGACTGGACAAAGTGCCTGGCGCTGGCTGAGAAGCATAGCCCCAAAATGCTGCCCCACTATCTGGCACACCTGGCATGGGCTTAGGGTTCAGGTCAAGACGTTCCTACAACATGTGCATGAAGCGCAACCCCAATATCTACATATCCCTTCACGCCGCTGCTTTCAATTGAATTTTCCAGTTATTTTTCCACTTGACTATACAACGCCTATATTCTATATAAGTTCTATATAGTCCTCTGTAATTCTATACAACACTTCTACAACCCCTATAAACCCGCAGTTTCCAGTTGACTTTCCATTTGATTCTCCATATACCTTGTTTTGATGTAGTAGCCCCTACAGATTCCTATACAACCCAGATATATCCCCCCTAACCCTAAACCGTAAACCCTGAACCCTTCACCCTCAAGCCCATATAAACTTACCATTACTTAGGGTCCCAAATTTCCTGAATTTTGAAATCCCCCAAAAATGACGCCCCCAAACCCTAAGTAATGGTAATAAACCCTAAACCCTAACCCCTTAACCCCCCAACCCTAAACCCTAAACCCTAAACCCTAAACCCTAACCCCCCCCACATAAGATCAAACATGGCAGGTTCAGTACTGCCGGGTCTTGGCCAACAAGCAGGAGATCCTCCAGGCGTGACCTTGCAGGGTTTAGGGCTTAGGGTTTAGGGTCTTGTAGGGACCATATAGGGTGCATAGGCATAGGGTTTAGGGTTTAGGGTTTTGTAGAAATCTTATAGGGTGTATAGGGTTTAGTGTTTAGGCTTTAGGGTTTTATAGGGACCATAGGAGGTAAATAGGGTTTGGGGGTATAAGCATGAAACGAATATGAATAGTTTGGAAAAGAACATGGAACTGCAGTGAAAGCTGGAATTAGATTGTGGCTAGAATGTGTAATGAGGAGATGGCGGCAACAGAATGTGTCTCAGAACTCTAAACCCTACTCTAATGATTTAGGTTCCTATGTCGGCTTTTATCGGCCTTGTGTCTCATGAGTTGGCTTCACTTGTTACACTTCTTAGAGGTCCCCAAGGCTCCTGCGTAAGAGAGTTCGCAGGTGGGATACCTATAGTTACACAGTTTAGGGGTGTCTCCCCTCACTCATACCTGACCAGAGATCCATCAGCTACTTACACAGGCCTTGAATATGAAATCCTCATATATCATACCCACTGGGGTCCTACAGAATCCTCATAACCAGACTTGTAGCTCGCCGTGAACTCCAATGTGAAAGCCACCGTGTAGCCGGAGGCTGCTCAGATGTTGGTCCGCTATGGGCCGCCGCCAGAGCAGTCGAACTTCCAGCTCTACAAGGCCTCACTACAAGTCTCGCGGTATTGTAGAACTACGGTACTAAATTACAAAAGTGCCATGGTGTCATAGTACCATAGTACTATGGTAATAAATCACAAAAGTGCCATGGTGTCATAGTACCAGAGTATTATCGTACTATATTGCTATAGTATCTGCAGGTACTTGTACTATTGATTTGGAATGCATGGAGCTGCATCCTGCATCCTACAACTCCTGTGCAGCTCATCCACACGGAGTTGCTGCCCGTTCCCCAGTTTCAGGGCATTCAGATAGCAATAGCAGCAGTTACAGCAACAATTTACAGCAGCAACAACTACTAATAGTAGTAATAACAGTGAGAAGAATAAACCTAATCATATCAATGATAACAGCATGATCATAGAAATGTTGTTATCAGCAATGAAAAAGGAATGAAGTGTGACTGACCAGTCGGGGCAGAGAGCTTGGCATGCGCTCATCTCCCTAAAGCCCCCCAAACCTTCAAACCCTAAAACCCTCAAACCCTCAAACCCTAAAACCCTAAATCTCTACACCCTCCAGCTGAGGGCTGGCGACTCTTCGGGCCCGCCTCTGGTGCGAGAGATGCTGCTGCGGGTCATGACGCCTCCTGGCACCCTGGGAGGTGCCAGGAGGGATCGGGTTCAGGGTTCAGCGTTTAGGGGAAAGGGTTTAGATTTTAGGGTATAAACGGATTATAGGCATCCTTATTAGGGAACCTATACACGGAGCATTTTGAGAAATGCCCCTAATTTGAAGGGTGTGGTAACCGTCCTTGATATGTGGATGCTGCAGGGGACGTTACTTAAGGCTTAGCTGGGCTTTAAGAACTACAAGTCGCCAATCCCTTGCGCCAGCACCGCCGACTCCAAAGATGCTGTCGGAAGATCGCCGCCCCCAGGCAGAGTTCTTGAAGGCCTGACAGTTGAACAACTTGAAGCCCTGGGCCCTTAACCCTGGGCTCCTTATATACCTGCTGCATACCCTATATGTACCCTAAAGGGTCCTTAGAATCTCCCTAGAAGGCCTAGTGGCTTAGGGCCCCATGCTTCTAGCCCTAGAACCCTGCAGGCGCTCATGACGGCGCACCTGCAGACAGTGCGGGACAGGCCACTCTGCGGGATTGTGGGGGTCCATTCGTGAAGAAAAGTACCAGTACTGAGGGTTAAGCGTTTAGGCTCAAGGGGTTTAATGTAGACCCCTGACTAATAAGCCCCCTCCCCTTAACAGGGAGGATTATAAGAGGTATCCTAATATTAAGGCCCTTTAATGGAGCAGGTTTATTAATTAGGGGTCTCCATTCGGGTTTAGGGAGGATCAAAATAATCAGCCTGCGGAAGTGGCGTGAAGCCTCAGACCAGCATGTTGTTAACATGGGATAGATTTGTGCACAAAGGCTTTACTAGCATCATACTTCATACTGTCTTGCATTGTTACAATATTGTTAGGTATCATTCTTTTGATTCTTACATTTTTTTGTTATATAGTGCCTTCAGCCCTAATCGAAACCCTAGTTGTTCATTGTTCTATGCCTGAATGTCTGGCCCTGCAAGGTTTCGAGAGAAGGGCATGGCTCCAGAGCTCGTCGCAAAGATCAGTGTCGCACTCTGTCGCCAGGGCCCTGGCATTAAATTTTCTGCGCAGTCATGATTATCCCTTCTCCCTATTATTAAGACCGCCCACCCGCCAACATCGAACATTCCCAGTGATTCTACTATGCAGTACCACAATTGGAAAGAACACTCAACATTGGGGGGGTTCTGAATGTTAGGGAGGGGAGCAAGCACGGAAGGATGAGAACATGGAAACTGCAATTTAGGTGGGTTAGGCCCCAACCAGTAATAGCAGTATAAAGGAACATATACGGACCTCATTGTGATTACCATTGTTCCTTTGCGGTCAGTAGTAGTGAGTGCAGGCTAAACCTAAAGTATCATCCAGGGATTCTGGGCCAATCTTGAAAGTGGATAATGTACGGGCCCGAATGCTTACCAACATTCTGCCCCTAAAGCCTAAACCAGGCCGATCCCTAGCCCACCCCTGGGCATACAGACCCCTGGGCCCACAAACGGGTATCTCCAAAAACCAGGGGTGGGCTAGATGGGGTTTAGGGTTTAGAGCTTAGATTTTCTTTGCCAAGGCTACTGTGCAGAGTTCCCCGTGGACATTGCCTTCTATGATGCTGGCATAGACTGCAAAAATGCAGGCTTGGAAGCTGGGAGGTGTTTTCAACCTTTGTAATTGTAAACGCTAGCGCGCGCCCGCCTCGGCTGGCGGGGCTTCCCACTGTAGGAACATGTAATTATAGATATACAGGTATTTAAGTTAGGTATATAGATACAGTCATATGCCTATTACATA